CTAACATAGTAGAGCAGTCTTATTATTTGTTATTTACATCATCTACAGCCTTTCATGTCTATATCTATAAAAAAACAACAAATGGATATAAAGCTATTATGATAGTATAGTGATTTTTGCCCATTTCTTCCAATTTTTTGCTTAAATGCAGTATTTCATTGATTTTGAGACATATTTTTTCTTATTGCATCCTTGAAATCAATCTGTGTCATAAAATTAATAACACCTTACAATTACTTTTGGTCAGGTGTGTCATTGCTTACAAACACATAAAAATCAAAAGTGCCAGCTTCATTACCTGTGCAGCACCTGTCATTGGTTTGACTGAAAGTCCCAAGGAGAATTGTAAAGCACTCTTTCAGATGCTGAGATCCAAATAGTTGTGGGGAGTAGGCAGTAGCAAATCAGATATGTTTGTCAATATCCCTGAGACTAAGATAGGCTAACCCCACGTAACTGTAGCACCAGCTCAAGATACCAATAATACGAATTTTTGAAAAACATATCGTCTTTTTCTTAAATGTTGGATTACAAACATATTTTAGGGAGATCATACTCTCAGGAACGGCATTCACTGATGCAAACAGGCTTTCTTTTCTGGGTGATGTATACTCCACCTATCAATATGGTTCAATCTAAACCACATGAAGATCAACATAAACGATTCCCTAAGTTTTACCAAATAAATGAAGACATATGCATCATTTAAAGAAGTTAACTAAACACAAAATCTCACCTCCATACCACCTCCAATTGCAGAAAACACATAAGAAACAGCCCCCCAAAAAGTAAATAAAATGGTATTTTCAGGGACACTAAGTTTAGAAAAGGAGGCTGCAATAATAAAAGGAAAACAATTATAATAAATTTAAAACAGCCCCCTGGCTGGTGTGGCTCAATTGGTTGGAGCGTCAACCTGTAAAGCGAAATTCACGTGTTTGATTCACAATCAGGGCACGTACGTAGGTTGCAGGTTTGGTTCTGTCCCTTGTTGGAGCTCATACAAGAGGCAACCAATCAATGTTTCTCTTACTCTCTTTCTCTCTCCCTTCCCTTCTTTCTCTCTAAAATAAATATATATATATTTATATATCAGTTTATATATCATTATATGTAAATATATAAATATATATCTCAGTAAACATGCCCTCAGATGAAGATAAAAATAGAAAAATAAAATTACCGTTTAAAAAATAAATACATTTAAAACACTGTTTTGAAGCAGGTGGTTTAAATCGAATGAGCACAGATAAAGATGGAATTAGTATTTTCCCAGAATACATTGGAAAAAAGCAAAAAGAAAAAATATATAAAAGAAAATCTTAGAAACAGTAAAATATATTCAAAATTTTTAATAACTTTTACAAGGTTTTCAGAATAAGAAAGTAGAAAAACAAATCAATAAAATAGTAGAATATTTTCTAAAGTGAAAAATATTTACTTTAGAAAACTCACTAAGTGCTGAAATAAACTAATGTTAAAAACACTCCCAGAAAGACCTTGGAGAAATTTCTGTATTAAAACATGCAAAAGGAAATTCTAAAAGCCTCCAAAATGAAAGCAGGATATCAAAAAGTAGAAATTGCCAACAAATAAATGAGCACCATATTGACCTTAGACTTCTCATGTGAAATTTTGAAAGCTAAAAGGCAACAGAGTGATTTTTTAGCTTTATTTTTTAAAAGAATAACATCTTAAACTAAGATCTCTAACATTTAATTGTCAAAGCAAATAAGGACATTTAACACTTACAGTAATTTTTATAAGAATTTTCCACTAAAACAAATACAAAAGGACTAAGAAAATAGTCATAAGGAAATAAAGCTGTAAAAATAAGAATTGAATCAGTAATTACTAATAAAATAACTATAAAATTTTAAAATATCAGAAATAATGGCCAAGACTATGAAGATAAATTTTTTAACATAGAAATAAAATTCTAGCTGATTTTAATCAAACATGAGTGGGAAGTGGAATGATGGGGAAGAAGGGGAAAAATAACAGCCTTTACGGAGGATTTATGTTGGGTCTAGAGGGGAATGCAGTTAGTATTTCAGTACTGATAGAAATATAAAAATCTTAACCCAAACAAGCTGTCTCTGCATAAAAAAATTAAAACTAAATTTTTATATCATGCCATAAGGAAATAAATTCCAGATTGTTTCAAATAAATTATTAAATATTTATCCCAACAAAAAATGGAATAATACAAGAGAGGAAAGTCCAAAAGTAGAAGATCAAGGATTGAAGGTGGATTGCGTGGGAATCTTAGCAAGGATTAAAAAATTTATGTTGCTCCAAACTATAAGCTGTTCTCGACTTTCCTTTAACCTTGACCTTCATCCTTGGCAGGAAGCTCATATAACTACTCTCCTGGTGCTCATGTTGTTTCATCTGGGGATACTGTTTCTGATATTTATTCTGTCATGGTACATTAATAATTACTCATTCCCATCATTGCACAAAAGTCAGGAAAAGTTCCTGGATTAAATGGCAGTTTAACAATGGGCATCACAAAATCAGTATTAAAAAAGAAACCTGCACAATGAAGTTAATGACCTCAAATGAAAAAAGAAAATTTGGGTTTCATCTAGCTCTTCCCCCATCTTGAAATCATATTGAATGATGTGAACTTATCCAGGTGAATCTCTATCTACAAAGGCACAAAACCCATTCATGATCATCTCGGGAAAAGACTGACAAACATCACATTCTGGGAGGAGAGGAAGTGAGGAACATTCCTTCAGAGTCAGATTTATCCACACTTCCAATAGCCTAGTTACTTCTGTTATCGAATGCTAAGTATGATTTTATTTTCTTACAGACTGGCTCACACTATTAACCATTCTGAGCTAATTGAAACACTTAATTGAAACAGGTTTTGCTAAAAGTGCTACATGAGTAATTAATTTTTAAATTACATACGAAACTTCACACATAGTTTATTATAGGTTGGAACTGAGGGTATTTCAGGTCCTGATTTTGCTATCTAACACATGTAATAGAACTTTCAGCTTATATCCTCAAATTGACAAATATAGTTTCTATGGATTCTCAAAATAAACATGTACTCAATTTTCAGTCTTAATAAATAAAGCTTTTTGTAAATTGTATTTGTCCTATCAAGCTCTAAATAATTCCTACTAAATATGGCAAAAAACACAAAGGACCTACCTAACCCCAGGTTGGAAAATAGAAGTCATGCAATGTCCACTCTCCCTTCTAGCCCCTCAGAAATACCTCAAAGCACTACTAGTCTGTGAGAGCAAAGGGGGCTCCAAGGGGGACAGAATTGTTACACCCAATTCTCCAGCTTTAGGAAGTTCAAGTTAACGACATTTGTCAGAATGATCCCCAATTGTTTCATGAAACGTGTACTGCTTTCTTCTTGAAAGAAGTTCAATTCTTTTTGTTTCTGGCAGAAATATCTCAACATTTGTGTTTTGCAATAGCACTCTTATCCATCAGGACCATTTTGGTTTCAAATACAAGAAACCTGACTAAGGTGAACTAAAGCATTCTATTCTTATTAATAACCCCAGGAGTTATGCTATTTAATGAAAGCAAAGGTGGACACAAATCTACCATGAGATTTCTAAAACCGAACAAAATGAATACATAGTTCCTTGAATGAATCATGCTATTTTATGTTTCTAAAACCCCTTCTATGCTGTTTCCCTTTTCCAGAATTTTCTGTAAGATTCAGTTTGAGCCTTGTTTGTTTTAGAAAGTATTTTTAACCAACCCCACTAATAATTTAGTGGCTATAATTACCCAATAAAATAGCCTGATATCCCTTCACAGCTTCAATTACATTGTCCTGAAATTTTATTTTTCAGTCAGTTTCTATGCTGGAATCTGTTTTCTCAAATTGTTATTCAACACGAGAAATTTTCTCTGAAATACTCAGACCCTCATTTCTCCCCACTCTTCCTCTGAAGCTTATTTTTTGATATTTTATCTCTCTTTTTTTAAAGATTTTATGTATTTATTTTTAGAGAGTGGAAGAGAGGGAGAAAGAGAAGGAAAGAAACAGCAATGTGTGGTTGCTTTTCACACTGCTTTCCCACCCCCCGACCCGCGCCTGTGATCCCTGCCCACACTGGGAATCGAACCAGAGACCCTTTGGTTCACAGGCGCTCAATCCACTGAGCCACACCAGCCAGGGCGATATTTTATCTCTTGAATTAATCTTTCTCATGTTTATTGTTTTTCTTATAACTAGCTTTTTTTCTACGCATTTTGGAAAAGTTCTTTTATTTAACCTTCTAAATTAAAGGCTATATTCTACCCTTCACTAATGATACTGCCTTTTATTGTTAAAATTTGGCAAAAAGGTATTGTGCTTCCAAAAAGGTCTTTTTAGGTTACCTGCTTTGGCTGCTGATTATTCTACTATATCTAGTAGTTGTCAGCTCCTTTTTTTTTTTTTTCCATTAAAAAGCTAGATTAGTCAGTATCACCAGCTGCCGTTTATTTCAAAAGTAGATTAGGTCTTGTGTTATTGTTCAGTTTTTACGTAGGGCTAGTGGTAATTTGAAGGCAGCTTGGTTGGGATATCACAAGGAGGGTCTTGTGGCTGGGAATTTGAATGACAAGCCTCTACACCTATGTGGGCCAGAAATACTGACCATCTTTGTTTTGAGCTATGGGATCACTGCCAACACACACATACCACACAGTGGAAGAACAGAGAAAGAATCTGACCAAACACACTGAAAATCCAGTGATGACAGAACAGTTCTAATATCTGTACTCATTGCATAGACACTGTTCCTTTGAAAAGCTTCCCTAAGTCACATGTTTCACCTTTTAGAAATAAGACACTAACAACATCTTACCCACCCCATCCTGCTGGGCTAAGTCCCCAAAAGAAATGAGGATACAGTAGACTTGATGTGAGAAAACTATAACCTAGTGTATTTGGTGCTGAGGCCCATCCAGTATGAAACTCAAAGATGTCATTGTTCTACGCGTCTTCATAAAGGAAGCTGCCAGGTTTCTCCCGGCACAGAGCTGGGAGCCACTCAGAGCTTTCTCCACAATGCTGCTGATCTTGCTGCTAGTGGCCTTTGTGGCCTTGAGCTCAGCTCAGAGCACAAATAATGGTAATAAAAAAAAAGCAAAAAATGGTGGGCGGTTGCTGTGACTTTGCTTGGGGCTTGGGAGGTCACACTGCAGTGAGAATAGGGCTAGGAAGGGAAGGGAAACGAGAGGAAAGATGAGGCTGCGCAGTTCTTAAGATAAGGATAAGGCTAGTCACATCCACATTTCATGACAAAGTCTTATACTTTACTTGCAACCCAATAAAGAATTTCAACAATAAGAAAAATAAGGTAAGATTCTCCTTTTTCAGAAGGCCTCTCTGTGGTGTGAAGTACACACTGGGGACAGCAAGACCGATACGGGGAAGTTCAGTCAGGAAGATATATTATTATGGTGATTGAAGTGCACCGTGGATGAAGGTGATCTAGCTAGGGCACACAGTATAGATGAAGGAGATAAGCCCACGTCAGAACAAATTCAGACATAGAGACTAGGATAATAAACTCCTCTCTTTCTCTACATAGATATATGGAGATTTCAGGGCCCAATTTTCTCACATCTTCTCCCACCACATTTAATATTTCAAAGTGCTGTGACCAATATGTGGACAATTATATTCAAATGTTTATTCCTAGTCATCCACCTTGAGAAAGCATGTTTCATCTTGTGCTTCTTTTCCTAGATGTCATCTATGAAGACTCTACAAACACTATACTAGGTAAGTCCCTATGAATCCTCTATCGACATTTTTCTTTTTTTCTCAGGAACTTTTTGTTTCTCCAGTGTCTTATTATCATCATTTTCTTATCAGGAATTGGTTCATGTCAGTACTTGTAAATATACAAGCAAACTTTATGCAGCCTTGATTTCTGGGGAATGTGAGCAGGGCTCCACCTTGACACCTCTGGCTTGGATGGCAACAAGAATATACTGCTTGTTTTCTCACACCAGACATGGCTGCTGAGAGGTGGTCAAAAAGAAGGTAGTCCTAATTCTGACTCTTCTGTTCTGCTGAGATCCCGTCAACTGTTTCTTTCTTCCCCAATGTTCCTCTCTATAAATGTAACGGGGCACAGCCAGCCACCCCCCACAAAAGTGTATTTGTAACGGGGTCCAGAGATTGGGGTGTCCAAGAAAAATATATTCCACACCCCAGGGTGTGCCGCCATGGGGGATGGGAGCCTTGAGCAGGGCCATTGAGAAGTCAGTTTGCATGTCAATGACAGGATAGCTTCGTTCCTCATTTGCAAAGAGGATTATTTGGCATATCACTAAAGCTAATCAGAAAAGTTTAAAAGACTTAATACAGAATGTAACTGGGGGAGAAAGAGGAGAGACAGAGGCCTGCAGGAGAGACAAAGGGACACAGGCTCTGGGGAACAGTGTGAAGACCACGCGGGAAGAAAGAGGCGAGAAAGGACTCTTGCTAGTGGGCCAGGAGAAGGTGCCACATGGTTATGGATTAAGAGCTGGAGATCGGGGCGACGCAGTGGATGGTGCTGAGAACCACGAGAGGCCTGCCTAGCCGAGCCCCGGACTTCTGTTCTTTTTCTTCTGAAGGACGGTACCCCTGACTGGCCTAACTGGGCAAAGGGGGGAAGGCAGGACAGTGTGTGTGCTGGTGGTTGTTTTGAAGGGATTTTGAGGTTTAAGGGTGACATTTAACCATTAATCAAGCCTGTAAAACTTGTGAATAAATAGTTCCTTTTCTTTTTCACCAAACTCTGCCATTCAGAGCAATAATTCCAAGGGCGGCGGGCAAAGGACCCACAACCGAGGGGTCCTGGGAAAGGAGGATGTCATTGTTTCGGTAATAGCATCTGGGCACCCCCACCTCAATGGGTCCTTTTGTTTGGTAACATAAATACATAGTATAAGAAAAAAATGCAAAAATTAAGGGTCTGGGTCCCTTTTCTGCTGGGTGAAACCAAACACCCTCTTTGGGTTCAGGGACTGTAGCCCTGCCAACAGGCAAGAAGGTCTCAAGGCTGGAAATAATCAAGGAGGCCTTGGGAAAACAGGCCACTGAGGAGACAAAACCTGTGTCCCTGGCAGAGGCACAGCCCCTGGCTCCCTCACATCACCCTGTTTGGCCCTGTGATGGTCAGTTAGTCATTGACGGGCAAGATCTCTCATGAGGAGGGGTGACCTAAGACAGACCCAGCTGGTATGGGCAGCAGACAAGGACTTGGGGGACACAGAGAGAGGGCAAAAATGCCTGCACCCCTTGGCTCGGCTTGGACATGGCCGGAGTCCTCATTCTATCTGAAAGACATCTCCTTATCTCTTGGTGGCTCTGCCCCACCCACCTGGCTCAGGCTTGAAACAATACTAAAGGCAGGTTCAGCCCTAAACTGGATCTGGCGGTTCCGGGACAATCAGGCCCAGAAGTAAGTTCCTCTAAGCATGTTTTGTTCTTCCCTCAAAAGCAATGATAACCAGCTCACACTGGGAAGGAGATTTACATTATTCACAGACCCTGACCTGAGGCAGATCTCTTGTGTTCATCCAATTGTTATCTATGATCGCTTTGTTTTCTGTAAACATAGCCTTTTGACATTGATTGATGAGCTTTGCAACCATACCCTTGTGTATATGGTTCTCAATAAAAACCTTAGGACTTGGAGGCTCGGGTCTACACCCTAGAGGAAAGAGCCATGCCCCCTCTCCTGGCAAATAGAGAGGTGTTTGGGGCAGCTCTTGTTTATTCCTCCCATCTGTGACAACCCCAGGACGGGCTCTGTGGGATTCAGAGCTCTGCTCCCTCCTCAGCTGGCTCTGGACAGTAGCCCTCAGGTCCAGTAACCCCGTGCTCCACTGTGGTGTTCCCTGCAACGCGTCACTCCCTGCGACACTTTTCTGTTTTTCTCCATTTAACTGTGTCCCTGTAGCTGATAAAAATTTTCCAGTTATTTTAGTGCCCCAGTTAAATTTTAGTGAATCCTGTGTAGTCCATCACTTGGTCTTTCCTTTCTCTGTCAGTATTTTTCTGCCTTGGTCTTGGAGCTTGAGTAACCAGCTCTAGTTTCCATGTGAGGCTGCAGTGAACAGACTTGGAGTCGCAGCAAGTTATGTCAGTGGCATGAAATATAATTGGCAACATATGATCCCTTTGCTTGTTTTCTGTTCTTGGAAATTATAAGATATAAATCCTCTGGGAACTGTAATATATTTAAAACTTTTTTTATTTTTTTACCAAATTGAAAGACATGTGTTTGTCTCAGGAACAAAGAACTAAGACTTCAAACTGTAGTGTACAGATTATGAGGAGTACTGCATAAGGAGACATTGGGGAGGAGGGAAGATTTATGGTTGAGAGGCAGGTTCTGGGAGAAAGGGACTGTCTGACTAGGTCATCAGAGATCAACAGGAGAGGGGCATCTTTCATCACTAAGCTCATCTATTCTTATGCTATACCTATTTATATGCAGAGAACATACACGAGAATCCAGATCAGGAGTCTGAGGGACCACTTTCTGAAGAATTCCTACCAAGACCCTATTTCGATGATGAAAACCAAGATGTTGGTCTTTGGCAGACACCACCCCCACCAGGAGGTCTTCACCACCATCCTCCCCAACAAGGAGACAGATGGCCAAGACCCCTCTCCACGGCCAACCAGCCAAGTAATCTGGAGGGCAGTGGCAGGTATGATTCAAGTTCACTCTCGATCAAAGGCCCTGTCTCCTACAGTTCTTAACCTTTAGTGTGTCAATAAGTCAGCTGGAAACATGTTGAAATTGCCTAGCCCTCAACCCTATTTCTAAAGATTCCTATTCAGATACTCTGGAATAAAGAAGCAAGATCTTATATTTTTAACAAGTAGTCCAAGTCTATTCCAATTTCGAGAAACACTGCCCATAAGTTACCTTTTCCCCAGTGATTACCCATCTTACAGTAGCTGAACATGAGTAAGCAGAACACCCTTCGCCCTCGGGTCCTCTCCCCTCCTTATCAGGCCAACCACTTTCCATCTCAAGTTTCCACCTTACCATTCTTTGCTCAGTCCTGCCTCACACAAGGCCTCTCAGGCCCAGTGTCCCTGCTAAATGATATTTTAACTTTATGCTGCCAAATGTTATCTAGTGTTTTAACTATTTACTTTTAAATTAATAGATGCTTAAGGTTTTTTTTTTTTTTTATTGCTTCGTCCATGGGTCCTTTATACATATTCCTAGACTTGACCCTTCTCTTCCCTTCCCTTTCCCTGCCCCGCCCTCTCCTTCCCTCTTGACTCTGTTGGTTTCTTTTGCTCAAGTTTTTAAAAATCTAACAGAACAGAAAGTTATACAGCTAAATCTTAGAAGCATATCTCATTCTACCTCCTCATTTCTCTCTGCAAAAATCATCACTGTTAACTCTTTTGAACCTCCTCTTAAAATTTACTCTGATATAAATATATAGAATCCTTCTTTTCCACAAATGATATCATACTTTAAATGTAAATCTATATGTTAAGTATTTCAAATAGCATACTTCTTAGAAAACTTCCATATAAGTTTATAGAGATAGATTGATCTTTGGATCTATTTGGTCTTTGTTCTAATTTAGTTTCACAGTTGTATACTGGTCCATTATATGTCTGTGCCATGATTTCTTTAGCCAACTCCCTGCCAATGGACATTTAAGATGGTTTCAGCTTTTCAGTATTACAGAATATGTTGCAGTTACCATCTTGGTAAAAAAATCTTTGAACATTTTCAATAGTTACCAAAAGATAAACAACCTAAGAGTAATCTCTTTATTCATTTTGCAAACAACAATATAGAACACATTATCTGTTAGGTAACAGGTGCAATAAAGAAAAAGTAGTTGGGGAGGAAAAGAAAGAGGCAGAGAAGATGGTCTGTCACCTATTTCAGTTCAGTAATACCAGCGAGAGATTAGAAATTACCTGCCATGTCATAGCTTCTGTATTAACCTTCTTTTTTATTTGTTTGTTTCAGAAAATGGATATGAAGATGACAGCCCTTCAGAAAGCCATGACATTAGAACAATTCAGTCTATCTTCAATATACCAATAAAATTATCAATGCCCAGTTTTTAATCATCATTTCTCATTCTTGGTGATTGTAATTCTGGAATTTGAGGACTATGAACACAGTATAGGGACATCCAAGACTCTTTTTCACTGAGATTTCCTGCAAGCTTCATCCTGGGCCACTCTCCTAGAGGACATCTTTGATTTATTCTTTGTTTGGGGACAAGAATAACTCTTTCCTCTTTCTACCTGCTGTTGACTCCTTCTTCCCCCTGGCACCTTTATTCACAAGCTAGCTACCAAGTGAATAATGGAACAATAGAATTCCATTGTTCCTCTCTTCTCTGGATTCTACATCACAAATGCAATTTCTAATTATTTTCAGAAATATTTGCTGATATCCTAGTAATTTTAGGGAAGCAAGGAAAATATAACAAATGTGAGGAAGTTGCAGAGGCTGAGGAAACTCTTAAAATTTCCAGTTAATAATTGATTCTTGTTGCTAGGGGAATGAATGTGTTTCCAGGCCTCTTCTCCATTGAATCCCCTATTGCTCATTCCCCTTTTTCCTCATTGCTCAATTATCTCCCTCCATAGGTTTCCCCCACCATTCTTTAACATAACCTAAGTGTATTTCATAGAGAGGGTAACATGATGTGTTTTAAGGAGCCAGGAATTTTAAGTCCTTCAGACATGAGTTTATGTGTTAGTGTCCTAATTTTTTTTCCTTGTTAGCTCTGTACTTTTAGCAAGCTACTTAAAGTCTCAGAGCCTTAGTTTTGTCATTTATAAAATTAAGGTAATAATAGTACCTACCCTAAGGGACAAAGAGTAATGAGATAACATACATAAAGAGCTAGCAGAGATTGCCTTCACCACGTCTTAACAACTACTTTAGGGAAAAACAGTGGACATGAAGTGCAGGGAATCAAATACTCCCAAATCAAAAATTTTCAGATCGCTTTGTCAAAATATCTAATTACAATATTCTCTGACAAGGTCTCTTCCAATTTTAAAAAAGATCACCTGTCTATATTTTTTTAGCATTTCCTGTCTTATTGCTCTATTTGCTAAAGTCTTAGGTTTTATTTTCATTTTTTATTATATTTTATTGACTATGCTATTACAGTTGTCCCAATTTTTCCATTTTGTCCCCTTTCACCCAGCACCCCTTACTCCCTCAGGAAATCCCCCCTCCTTTGTTCATGTCCATAGCTCCTGTATATGTTCTTTGGCAACCCCATTTCTTATACTTGCTCTAAACATCCCCCTGTGTATACTATAACTATCAACTTGTAATCCTTAATCCTTTCACCTCTTCTCCCACTCCCCTAGACCCTTCTCCCAACTGGCCACCATCCCGATGTTCTGCATATCTATGATTCTTTTCCTGTTCTGGTTTTTTGCTTAGTTTGTTCTTTAGATTCAGTTGTTGATAGTTATGTATTTATTGCCATTTTAATGTTCATAATTTTCATCTTTTTCTTAAGTCCCTTTAACATTTCATATAATAATGGTTTGGTAATGATGAACTCCTTTACCTTTACCTTGTCTGGGAAGCACTTTATCTATCCTTTGATTCTAAATGATAGCTTTGCTGGGTAGAATAATCTTGGTTGTAGGTCTTTTCTTTTCCTGACTTTGAATACTTACTGCCAATCCCTTCTAGCCTTCAGTTTCTTTTAAAAAATCAGCTGACAGACTTATGGGAGCTCCTTTGTAGATAATTATCTGCTTTTCTCTTCCTGCTTTTAAAATTCTCTCTTTAACTTTTGGAATTTTAATCATGATGTGTCCTGGGGTGGTCCTCTGTGTCCATCATGTCTGGGACTCTCTGTGTTTCCTGGACTTGTATGTCTGTTTCCTTTACCAAATTAAGCAAGTTTTCTTTTATTACTTTTTCAAATAGATTTCCAATTTCTTGCTCTTTCTCTTCTACTTGCACCCCTGTCATGTGAATGTTGGTATGCTTCAAGTTGTCCCAGAAACTCCTTACATTATCCTCATTTTGGATTTCTTCTTTTTATTCCTCTTGCTGTTCTGCTTGGATGTCTTTTGTTTCCTTATATTCCAAATTATTGATTTGATTCTTGGCTTCATCCACTTCACTGTTTATTCCCTCTAAATTGTTCTTTATTTTAATTAGTGTCTCCTTAATTTCTGCTTGATCATTTTTATGCTGTTGAAGTACCCTCTGGGGTTCTTTGAGCATCTTTATAACCAGTGTTTTGAACTCTGTCTCTGATAGTTTACTTATCTCCATTTTGTTTAGTTCTTTTTCTGGAGTTTTGTTCTGTTCTTGCACTTGGGCCATATTTCTTAGTCTCCTCATTTTGGCAGCTGTTTTGACTCTATATCTTGGTGGCCTAATGTAGTAGGTGTCTTGAAGAGTTCAGTGGCACAGCCTCCCCTATCCTCCAAGCTGGGTGCTCAATGTGCACCATCCACATGGGCTGAGTACTCCCTCCTTTTGTAGTTGAGTCTTGATTGTTGTCAGCAGGTAAACGTGAGGGATGTATAGACCAGACAGCTGATAGGACTGGTTGTGACAACTTGCCACCAACGACCACCCTCTGGCTTGTGGCAAGAAGTATTCAAGTTCGGTGGTTGTGCTCCTATGTGGTCTGTAACAGTTCACTGGGTACACAGGCCCTGAGGCTTCCCAGGTAGTACAGGGGAGAGTCAGACACTGCCTGTGTCCTATCTGGGGCCGCTTGGCATAAGCTATAAAGGGACCTCTAAAGTCTTAGGTTGTATTTTTTTTAAATAGACATTCTGGTGTGTTTTGTGTACTGGTAGAAATTTAATATTAGAATGCAATTCATGACAATTTGAAATGCGGTCTCCTCAAACTACTACCAGATCAAAAATATGTTAATGTAATGAAGTATTGCTCACATAATGTCAAAGTTTGTACACCACCCATATTAATGTATATGAAAGTATATAATATGAAAACAGAAAAATAATTTATAACAGATTCAGTAGCTGGCTGTTTCTTAAACTAAAATCAGTAATAGACAAACTTCTTATAATTCTAATCAAGAGAAAAAATAGAAAACAATGTGAACTTCAGTAATGGGAAGGTTAAGTTAATCACAGATGCTTAGATCTTTTTTAAAAACTAAGATAATATATAAAATTCTATTCTGATATAAAAATAAAATTGACATTGTATAATATTAATTACTAATTTGACTAAAAATGCCTTGGGAAGGTTGAACAGAAACTAACCATAAAAGAAATGTAGTAGTATCTTGTTTTAATTCCAATTTCTCTGATGATATATGATGTAGAGCATCTTTTCACATGCTTATGGATAATTTTTTGATGAGGTGTCTGTGAAAGTCTTTGGACTATTTTTTTTAATTGGGTTGTTTATTTTCTTCTTATCATTGAGTTTTAAGAGTTCTTTGAATATTTTAGATAACAGTCCTTTAGCAACTGTGCCTTTGCAAATATTTTCTCCCAATATGTAATGCTTTTTCTAGTCCTCTTGATATTATCTTTTACAGAGCAAAAGTGTTTTATTTTAATGAAGTCCTGCTTATTAGTCATTTCTACTATTGGGAAGGAAAAACTTTTTTTCTTTCCTTCTATGTGCATTAGTTGGTCTGATAATTAAATTGACATAAGACAGATTAACAAGAGAAAAAAAAACTTAATTATGTTGTGGGAGGCCCACAACGACATGAGACTAAAAGGCAGCCAGGCAGTTAGGGTTTACATGCCATCCTGAGCTAAGGAGGATGGGGCAGGGGTCTGGGGCTTCAAAGGGGAGGAAGACATCTTCACAGGAAGATGAGCAAATGTTTAGTAAATAAAATTTTTGCCATACAGGTAAATATGATATAAAAAGTTATCACAGGGATGGGTCTGCTTACTTATCACAGTAAACCTTACAGTGAGGTGTCCACCTCCAGGACCTGAAGAATCTTTTGTAATGGCTGTTTTTTTAATGAGGTGGTTTTGTCTTTTGTTTATAGTTCTATCCTGTCGTTACTGATGTCAACACTACTCTCTATCAAAACTACCTGTTGATTACACTTGCATTTCCTTCCTTGCAAAACTTTTCCCTAAAGTTAATAATTACCTTTTCTTCATTTGTTTAGTTTTCTGTAAACATCTAAGACTTCCAGCAACCTCTCACAGATCTGTAAAGTCCTTCTCAACACAATTTTCCTCACCCTCTCAAATCATTTGCTTTTGGGCTGAAAATTTTCTTTTCTCCCTCTTAAGTAGGATGATGTACATCTTGAATTAATACCTTTTTCTAACTTGATTTTCTTCTTTGTTTGGTAAAACACAGCCTACCATATCTTCTTGCTAATGAGTGCAAAAGAGGCAAAATAATTTGAGATATTTCATGTCTGAGAATGGCTTTCATCTAGCCTCATGCTCAATTGATAATCTTATTGGATATAAGATTCTAGGTTGGAAATTATTTTTGCTCAGAATGTTTACAATATTATTCTGCTTTCTGATTTCCACTGCTGTTCCACTGTCATTCTGATTCTTAATTCTTTGCATGTAACTGTTTTTCTTGATAAAATTTTTAGGATCACTTTTATCCCTACAATTTAATTAAGTACAAATTGATGTGGACTTTTTCTTTCCATTTATTGTACTGGGCACTCAGGATTCCAAGGGCGACCACTGGCCACGGCCTGCACTTTAGCAGGGGCCCCACACAAACACCAAAACCAAAGACGTATGGTACGTGGAGATGGTCTGGCCCCCTCACTCAGATGGGGTGGCCTGATAGCTATTTTGTTGAAGATGTCTCTGGATGCTGTCTCTGAGTCTTAAATCTTCCTACCTCCTGCTTGACAAGCAAAATCCTCACTGCTGGCACTTTGGAGCTGGCCAGGGTAGAGGCTAGGAACCTCTCCTTTTGTTTTATAGGCTTTCATTTTGTCATCCTGTTTTTTTTTTAATTTTTTATTTAATCTTTATTATATTTTTTTCCATTACCATTTAGTACCATGCTGTTGTCCATGTCCATGAATCTTTTTTCCTTTTTGCTAAATCCCTCCACCCCCACGCTGTCCA